TAAGTGGAGGCAGGGATAATGAATAGAGAGCAGTAATTCAATCTACCCAGTACTAACTTATATGACAGAGAGACAACACAGGCTGCACACTTAGGATGTTTTTAGAGGAAGACATTTTCAAACATTGTAAAATACAGCAGTAGGACCAAAAATAACTGAGTTCCTACCAAAAGCCTCCTGCATTCCAGGGTCCAAACCATGGAAATGCCAGCTTTCCCTCCTTGTGTCTTTGCTGTGCCCTCTTCATAGTCAGGGATGGTTGTGACTGGGTGTGTCTGGTTCCTCTGAGCATTCAGCATGCCTCTGTCCTCATCCCACGCTGAACCGGAGGCTCATGTCCGCATTCTTCACATTGCCTGTAAAACAGTCCAATTCCTGAGGCATTGGCTGTTGATGTTGATTTCCTGGGTGTTTGGAGAGAAGATGAAAGACAGGGTCCCATCACACACCATTCCTCCATGGTGCCCACTCCTGGCAAGCCACTCATTCCCCTCTGTCCCTTCTTTGACTTCACCCCTGCTTCTTACTCACTCAGCCAAGTAAAGCTTGGCATTTCCCCAACAGTGACCACCTGTTGTTCCTCCAGCATGCCCTGTTGGGGATTTATCTCAATCCATCTCTCTATGATGTATCATCATCCAATGATAATCATGAGATGGAAGAATCTGCAAAGCAGAGCAGTTGATACAAGGCAGAGCTGGGGCTGAGTCCAGGCCAGTGGTGGTCCCTCCCTAACCACATGCTGCATCTGGCCAGGGGGGAAAAAAGAAAGTCACGATTAAGGGGAAAAGTTGCACAAAGGCTTATCGAATAGTGGTTGAGGACATGGCTGTGGGGCATAGAGGGAGAACGGTGTGTGTGGAGAGAGGCCTTTGCATTCCAGGAAGCTCTGAGCAGGTGGGAGGGCCACCCTGGCCATCTGACCCCGTAGGGTATTTTGTCCACACGCTGACCTCAAACCTCTGGCCACTCACTGCAGGACAGGAGCTAGATGCAGCTCACAGGCTGGGCAGGCTTGGGCAAATCGCTTGTCTGTCTGAATGGCAGGTGGGAAGTGCCCAGGAGCAACACATATTTACTGAAGCAGCATTTGTTGAGAACTTCCTGTTCCAGACTCTTGTGTATGTTAGCTTCTAGGAACTGGCCACAGTCAGGGCTCAATAAACATTCACTATCTGAATGAAGTAGCCCTTAGACCAAATGAGGCAGTCTCATATGAAGATGAGGAAGCCCAGGATTGCCAGGTTCACAAGCTCCCAAAGACCCTGTCACTAATAATTGACAGATCTAAGGATTCAAAGTACGTCCTGTCTGACACTTGAGCCAAAGTTCTTAACTTCCAAACAAATGGGTCTGGTTATCTATTGCTTAGTGGGCACGTAGTCAGTGCTCAGTAAATGCCTCAAAACATTACAAGTGGAGACAACTAATCGTGCCGCATTCTTAGGATCTGTGCGCTTTTCTGCCCACACTATGCACCAACGAAACATTGAAAACAAAACAAAAAAGTCAGCTGTGTCTGTGAAGCTCAGAACAGATTTTGCGGATGTGCAGAGGGCCTGTTCTTTCTCCAACAGGGGGACTGGTTGTCTCACAGCAACTGTGATCTTGGAACTTGACACCTTTAGAACTCCTCGGGTGTTATTTCATTTCTGCTCTTTCCTGCATCCCTGTCTGACCTCCTCAAAAAGTTCACCCAAAGAAATGATTGCTCCCCTCTCACCGCTTTGCTGTCAAAATGGTGACACAGTGGATGCCTTCTGTTTTTGTTTTGTCACCACAGTTTTCAAACTGTCACGAAAACACACAGATGCGGGTAATTTCAAAGTGAATCACAAAGCAACTAAGGAAACCGAACTGGGCGCCAGCATGGGGTACCAAACAGATTCACAGGAGGTGCGCTGACTAGCAGCTTTCTGGAAAAGCGTAAACAGAGCAGAACAGCCAATTTTATAATTAACTGGGAATCGGCCTCCAGTTAAGCTTCTGCTTGGTGAAAATGGCCAAGCTGTTGCCCAGGGAGAGCTGGTGCCCTGCCTCTTCCTTCAGGCACTGGCAGACCTGAGCTTCCTTAGCTTTTAGCTTTACCATATTTGAGTATGTTTCAGGATGGCAGCGTCTGTAGCTCAGAGTAGAGTTCACTGGGAAAAACGCACAGGCCAGGGTCTTAGGGTAAGGACAGGCCATGTGCATAATGAACAAGGGAGCCCTTGTTCAAAAATTATTTAGAATTTCATGATGATGGTAGCAGAGCATTAAACCAAGCAGGAGGCCCTCCTATGCCTGGGGCCCTGTGCGAGTGTTCAGGTCATACATCCATGATGCTGGGCCCGGGTACCGGGTCACACCTCCACCTCCAGAGCTGGGAGACATGGAAGGGTGGGCTCTCAAGCTGTGGGCAAAACACAGCCTCAGGGACTCCAGGGCACAAGATCACAGAAGAAGGAGGCCAGGTAGGCAGCAGGAACAAAATCAACAAGCCTGGCTGGAAAAACAACAAATTCATTAGAGCAATCCTTTTGGGAAGGCAATTTGGTAAGAGGTGTCACAAGCCCTTTGATTCAGTGATTCTTCTAGCTTGGTATTCTACTGTTATCTCTGCACAAAGGAACGAGGTGATAAATCTGAGGGTGCTTATTACAGTGTTACTTGTGATATTGACAAATGGAGACAACTGGAACATCTGTCAAAGGGGGATGGGTTAGAAACCATGCTGTTTCCCCTGCTGAGGGCATTTCAAGTCAAACGCACTGGGTGGGTGACCCTCTTGTGATTCAGCTGCTCAACAATATCATCTAGGACCCAGTTCTTAAAATTTCTGTTTATTGCTGTGCGTGGCATTCACTTTGTTCTAAGCCCAGATTCCCATCCCGTGACTGCCAACTCCTTGAGGCTACTTACTATTCACCCATATCTAGAGCAAGTTGTCTAGACCCCAGAATCCCCAACAGAAATCCTGAGTGTCACCTTCCTTGAATCAAGTCCTGTGGCTGGAGGAATGCATATAATGATTCTTTCTTTTTCTTTTTTTTTAATATTAGCTTTATTGAGATATAATTCACATACCATGTAATTTGCCCATTTAAGGTTTTTTAGTATATTCACAGGGTTGTGCAACCACTATCACAATTGATCTTAGAACATCTCATCATCCCCAAAAAAATGCAGTGTTCATTAGCAGGCATTCACACAGTGGCCTTAATCAAAGTTCACCTGAACCTGCTTCTGCGACTAGGCTGGGAGGAGGTCATGGCTGCCACATAATGGCAGGGGTGCGGGGCATGAGTGGAAAGAATATTGGAAACGTGACCACAATGTCCCCCCTGCCTGTGCTCCACTCACTCGTGACATTGTGACATCCCTTTATCCTCCTCTTCCCCACGATGCTGATGGCCCCCTGCAAAGTGCCTGACACGGAGACTCGCCTTCCGTACCCGACACCAAGTTCTAATTTTGAGATTGGCTCTCATGCAACAAGAGAGGGCCAGATCGCATATAAAAGGGAGGCAATGGCCAGGATGGGGGAGGCCCAGTCTTGGCAGAGGGGACAAATTATGCAAAGACATGGAGGTCTGAGAGAGACTGGAGAGCTCAAAAATTCGTAACTAGAAAGCAAAGTTCATGCAGGGAAAAGGCAAATGATGAGGCTCATGTGTCTTGTTAAGCTCACGTTTCTAGCAGTCTCCTCTATATTTTTTCTCTGCTATTCAATGCATAAAAGTTCCTAAATTCCATAGGTCCTTCGTAGATTTTTCTCTCGCCCCACCCCGCAGAATCCTTCTTAATCTGAATACAATATTGATATCTTTATCCTTTTTGTTAGCATTTATTCAGTATTTGTCCATCTGTTTTACTTTGAACCTTTGCTCTTTTACATTACGTGTGCTTTTCCCCTCAGCCTCACTGAGATATACTTGGCATATAACACTGTGTAAATTTAAGGTGTGCAATGTGATGATTTGACATACAAATATATTGTAAATGATTACAATAAGGTTAGTTCAGATCTCCACCACCTCACATAATTACCTTTCGTGTGTGTGTGTGTGCATATAGTGAGAACATTTAGGATCTTCTTTCTTAGCAACCTTCAAGAATAACAGTATTGTTAACAGTATTGATAACGGTAGCCATTATGCTGTACATTAGATTCCCAGAACTTACTCATCTTATAACTGGAAGTTTGTGCCCTTTGACCACCATCTGCATGTTTCCCCAACCTCCAAGTTCCTGACAACCACCTCTGTTTTTATGACTTCAACTTTTTTAGACTCCACACACCAAGTGAGATCATAAAGAATTTGTCTTTCTCTATCCAACTTATTTCACTTAGCATAATGCCCTCAAGGTCAATCCATGTTGTTGCAATGGTGGAATTGCCAGTTCATGTGCCTGACAACTCCTCAGTCTCGTTTCAACACCTTGAGAGAATCCGATGGGCTTATTGCTCTGTAGATGTTGGCCTGTTCAGATCTGGCTGGAGGAGGGGAGGGTACAAGGTGGTCACATGTTATAAACAGAAAACTAGGGCTATGGAAGTCAGATGTTATATTCACAGATGAGGGGTGGAGGTGGGAGGAGTGTAGACACTTAGGGTAACTATCCAGTGGGGTGAGTCAGGGGCTGCCCTGCCATTTCCTCACGTGTCTTGGTGTTTAATTCCCTTGTATTAATGTTCGCTCTGCCATATGTGTGTCAGAGATTGTTCACCTTGCCCAAGAAGTGGAAAGCAGCAGAGCCATCTGGCCCCTCTCCATCCTCTTCAGCATTATTTGTTCCCAAGTGGTTCTAAAGGGGCCATGGGTGAATGGGTCCATGTGCAGAGACTAATCTCATGTCTGGCACTCCCGAGAATCATGCTTGGGAAGCTCGCCCGGCTTCCAGAGGTCCCAGGAAGATTCCTGGAGAAGCACAAAGCCTTGGGCAGACCCCAGCACGGGCAGAGCTTTGCCTGACTTCCCTCCTCCCGGTTTGCCGCCACCTGGGCCCCTCCTCAGGCCGAGTGACTCAGTTTTCCCAGGAACCCCCCCTGTGAGTTCCCCCTGTCAAGTGCTCTGGCTCCCAGCCATCTTGGGCGGGGAGCTGGCCCATAATGGCTTGGCTGGAGGTGAAGAGGACCCAACAGAGGGATGAGCTGAAAGAAGCAGGTGGCAGTGGGGGCGAAGGTCATCTCCCAGAGGGTGAGGGTTCCTAGCTGGGCCTGCTGGGTGGGAGGGAAGGCCGCGTGAGACAGTCTGCACATGAGCCGGAGCGTCAAAGGGCTGGGCCCCCTGCCCGGGGCCGATGCAGGGCCCTCGTCCCTGCTCTCCCTGCTCCGTCCTTACCCCCTGCCATCGGTTCTCCACAAAACACTCAAACTGGTCCTTTAATGACACAAATTAGATTTATATCCTCCTTAGATTGATTCTTTCAGCAAATATTTATGAATGCCTATATTTGCCAGGTACTGTTTTAGGCGCTGGGGATACAACAGTGAACACAAAACAAAGTCTGCCCCTAGTGATATTTGAGTGGAATTCCAAGTCCTCTGCTCAAAATTCCTGAATGTCTGCCCATCTCTTCCAAATAATAGGCAACCACGCGTCCCCATTATCCATTACTGCTGGAGAAACCCCCCAAACTTAGCAGTGGGAAGCAACTACTATTATTACTATTATCAGTCTCACTGTTCAGGGTCTGGAAGGGCTCAGCTAGGCAGTTCTCACTCGGGGATGCTTGCACTTCCCGTCAGATGGTGGCAGGCTGGTGTGTCTCAGAGGTTTTGTCACTTGCATGTCTGGCAGTAGACGTGACTGTCAGTGAGCCTTACCTGGGACTCTCGCCTGAAATACCTACAGTTGGACAAGAGTCCCAAGAGAGACAGAGACAGACAGAGACAGAGACAGAGTGAGCACACCAGGAAGAAAAGCTGTCTCCTGCCTATGTTGTCTTTGAAGGAAAGACAGCCTCCGTTCCAGACCTTCCGTTTCCCTGACTCCAGCCCTTACTCAGAGAGGATAATTTGACTCCTCTTGATGGGGTGAGAGTCCAACAATCAGGGGAATGCAAAGCCACATCATTGCTTCCGAGGCTTTACAGAGGCAGCCCCGGGCCCCTCCTCCTCGTCCCCTCCCGGGGTGTCGGTCACTCCATTTCCGTAGCCCCAGCCTTCTTGCTGTTCCTCAGCCATGGCAGCACCCCTGCCCCAGAGCCTTTGCCACGCTGTCCCCTCTGCCAGGGGTGCTCTTCCCCACGGGGTCTCCATGGCTTGTCTCTCCCATCAGCACTGGGCTCGGCTGTCACCCTCTCAGAAAGAGCCTCACCAGCGTCCCTACGTAAAAGCGCCCTGCCCCGGCACCCTCTAGCCCTTGCCCTGCTTTGTGTACCGGTAGAGCACTTGTCACCCCCTGACACGTAGTGCCCTTCCGTGGGCATTCATCTGTGTCCGGTTCTAGGATGTAAGCTCCCCGAGGCCAGGAACATTGGCCTCTTCACTGTGACTCCAGCGCCTGGAACAGAGACGACACATTCTCATACTCCATCCTCACTTGCTCAGTGAGCGAGGGGATGAAAAGGCGTCCACATGGAGACTCCCTTGGTTTGGCGTGTAAGTCAGCCCTGCTAGCCGGTGGTTTGTGAAATGTATGGTCGTCTGGGAGACTCAGATCCCCTAAGGGCCTGATGGCCCATGGCCGTGTCCCCAGTGTGGAATGCAGCCCCCTCAGGGCAGTGGGAGCCTCTGGGTGGTGTGGAGCTGAGAATGTTAATATTTCCCACTAACTTCTGCTTATGGCAGGTGATGGTGGATGGTCCGTTTATGGTTGTGGATATTGTTTGCTTTTAAAATAGATTTATTTAAGTAAAAACGTGACCCATGATTAGGAAAAGATATTTAGTAAATAATTGTACAGGACTCAGTACATAGGGGTAACAATTATACAGGTGGTAGGTGAACGTGTGCATTTCAGGGAAACACTAGCTTACTGAAAATATCCTGTGCAGATGGCCCTGTGGTTAGCAGAAGGGGCAAAAGGTCCTGCCATCACAGCAGGACCAGCACCTCCACCAGTCGACACAAGCTGGGGGAAGACCCACAAAATCATGGCTGCCCTGGGGGCATTTGTTTGGTTCCCAAGTACAGGAGAGATGTTGGGAAAAGAATGATGTGGCTGGCTTACCTGCACAACTCAGGCTGCCGTAAAAGCAGTTTGGGTTTTTAAACCCCCACCACCTGGGTGACTAACTTGGTCAACACTGGACATGGCTGTTTACTCCCCACCAATCCGCTCACACATGTGGAGGACTCTCTTCTCCAGCTCTCATCTGCTTCCCTCATAATAAGGAAGGAACCCACCAGACTGGTGTTTCTTGAGTGTGATCTGAAGACCCCGTTGCATTGAACTAACCTGGGAAGGATGTTCCAGGGGCAGAGTCCCAGGCCCTGGGCCCGAGCTCCTGGGGCAGCATCTCTGGAAGTGGGGTGCAGGAACCTGCAGTCACAACATGTCCCCGTGATTTGGATGGGTGGTTTTGCTGTAAGACCATGGCACTTTTCTTATGAAGCACAGTTGAAAGGACAATTCCAACATACATAAGGTCTGGAATAGAGTGGGACTCCCAGGGCACACCCACAGCTTGCCCACACTCTCCATGGCTGGGTCCACGTGGCCCTGTGGTGGTCTCTCCCAGATTTGGGAGGGGTGGTGAGTCCATTGCTATACTGCAGAATCAGAGCGCACAGGCGCCCTCCCTCAGCCTGCTCTGTGTCCTAGGGAATGCAGGGCCATAGGTTTAGGTACAGACACTGGTTAATGCATTAGGATCCCTCGGATTCTCAGGGGCCACGTTAGATCTCCCCGACTGAAAAGTGTGGTTGGTGTTAGTGGGTCTTAGGATCAGATACCAGGGTGCTCCTTGCATCCCCGTGTGTGTGTCTCTCCGTGTCTCTGGTTAGTGCACGTGGCTGAGAGTGCAGCTGTGTGTGCTCAACGGGTGTTCTCCCTGTGTTGGCAGGCAGAGAAACTGAATCCCAGTGGCTGCAGGACACATGCCTGTCAGACCTCCCTGGTGGCCTGGGCCTAGATGGTGATCAGCGGGGGCTCCTGTGCACCCGTACACAGACCCAGGTGACCCCTGTGTGCCCTGGCTGGACATCTATGCCTGGTCAATCTGAAGACGACAGAAGGCACCTGTCAGAGATGTCACAGACATTTTCTGGGTCTTCAGTTCAGTGGTAAGTAAGTGGCTTAAGGGTCAGTGCAGGCCCAGTCTGCCTTGGGCCTCTGTGATGTCCCCACGTCCTGAGTGGAGCAGTGGCTCTGCTGCAGGGCTGTGTGGATGGCTGCATGCCTGCTTGCATGGCTCTGGGTCCCCAGGGTGCATGTGAGTTTGTCTGCTGCATCTGTCAGTGTCTATATGCCTCTTGCCACCATGGGGCCTGGGTGGGCCTGAAAACTTAGGTTCTTTCTCTGTTACTAGTACAATCAGAATACTTTTTATTCCCATTTGTCTATCCTGCTGGTTTGAAACCTGACAGGCTGTGGACATCCTCTTTCTCGGAATAGACTTGAAAAGGTATGACACAGTGATTCAAGTGACAGCAATGAAAGCAGACAGACCTGGGGCCCGGTGCCTGCTCCCCACTTAGCAGCTGGGGATCTCCAGCAAGATCACTGAGCTTCAGCTGCTGTCAGTGGAGGGATCGGGAAAAGACCCTGTTTCCCAGGGCTGGGTCTGTGTCATCTTGCTTCCTGCCCAAGTGGGAACTGTCTATGCTCTGTGTGGGACTTATCTTCTGAGAAGGGGCACTCGGGTATGAAAGGGACCCATCTCAGTTCTGGGGCTTCTAAGTCTCCTCCAGGTAAGTGGTCTTTAGTCCCCAGGGCCCTGGGACTCCTGCAGGCTGCACAGAGGGGCTGCTTTATGAAGAGACGGTGCACACCTCTCAGATTTCCCTCTTCCTGTTGGTTCCTTGCCTTCCCTGCTTGATGGAAAAACTTGGGCCCTTGAGTGGGCCTTTCCATCAGGGCCATGGGCCTCAGCTGGGAAAATCACTTCCTGGGCATTGGGCCTGAGCCAGAAGCTATTGATTTGGTCCTGGGGCTTTGAGCTTTGAACCTGAGAAATCACTTCATGGTCAGGAAACTGCCCCCTGAGGCCCTGGGCTTGGAGGAGGCAGGGAGGCAGCTGGTCCTGACCGCCTCTCTGTACTGCATCCTGCAGCAGCAGGGGCTGAGGGGCCGCAGGCGCAGGCTAGGAGGGATGAAGTCTTCCACATGGACTCTGCCAACTTGGAGCAAGCCGTGCTGCTCCTGCAGAGGGGCAGGCAGCCCCCAGGAGTCACCTGCGCCTGGGGCAAGGGTTTCCTGTGGGTGAGGACGCTGCCCATGGCACTGGTGGCCCATCCTCGAGCACCAGTACATCCCACAGCACCCACCTCACTCCTTCCTTTCTGCCAGACCCACAGCATGACAGTTGTGGAATCACTCATTCATTTAATTCAAACCACGAATATTTACTGAGTGACTACCCATGTCAGGGACCAGAGAGCAGGGAGCTACAGTCCTTTATATTCTTATTTTCATTTATGCTCTTTGCTTTTATGCTTAGGCAGTCCCCTCATCCAGCCACCTGATAACGGTCTACCTCTGATGCCAAGGTTCTTGTTCACAAAGCCAAAGAATGAGCTTCACAAACACTCAAGGTAGGAGAGAGCAAGGTACAGGCTTTTATTTAGAAATGAAGTGAAAGGACAGAGCTCCCAGCTCACGCCAGGAGGGGACAAGAGAGTCCATAGTGGTGCGTTGTCTAGGGGGTTTTATAGGCAGCTGAGGATTTTTCGAGAACATGAAAAAAAGCTTAGGGGTGTGGACTTGTTAAGTGGTCTCTGAATATTTAGAATTAACTTAATACAAGCAACTTCCTCTGATGATTTCTCCCTGAGATACCAGCATCTTCGTCTGGGGACCTATGAAACAAGGCCACCTGCTCAGCCCCCAAGGTGGGCTGAGGTATTGTTTGCTAAAGAGTAAGTGAAGAATTTCTAATGTCTTAACTTCTTAGGTATTAAAATGCAATCTTATCTTTAAGGTGGAATCCTTCCTACCTTTTACTGTGTTGTTTATGCCTGGGCTTATTTGCTAAATTAGTTGCCCAGTTTGCAAAATCACTTCATCAGATCTGAAGGAGGAAAGACAGCACATAGGCCTGGGCCTTTTAGTATGCTGAAGAGAACCTTACACATGATTATAAATGGTTAGCATAATAAAACATGTGCTACTCTTCTTTATCTGGGGAACATTAACTGATTTCACTGAAGAATGATTCTAGAGCTCAATGTTTAACATAGAGTTTTAGCAGGGGAGTTTCCTTGCATGTAGTTATATTGCTCTGACTGCAAATATCCCGCCCTGCCCACTCCGGAGGCCCTCACCCTACTCTGACTACATCCAGGGTCCCTATCTCACCTCCATGTGTTTTTCCAGTTATTGTTTAATTCTGGTGTCTGGTGTGAGAGAGATGCAACTTCTTAGTTTTTTTTCCTTCCAAATTAGGATGTAATCATTTATATTTAGGTTTTTAAGACAGAAATAAGACTCGTGGTAAAGTGCACAAATATTTAGCATGTGCAGCTCAGTGTGTGTATCTGTGTAACTCCCACCAGATCAAGAAAGACATAGAACACTTCCAACCCCCTGCAGGCTCCCCCAGGCCCTTTCCTAGTTTGTCCCTTTCCCCACTACAGGCAACCACTAACTATTCTGAGCCCTCTCATCAGGTAGTTATTTTCCCAGGTTCCGTAAAAGGTAGAGGTTCTTCACTGACCACATTTCAATTGATTGGATAATCCTAGGTAAACGAGCCTCAGACATTGTTCCAGAGGCTTCACCCACACTGGCTTGTCTCCTTATCTCTCCCTAGGAGATAGGTGTTGCCACTGTGGCCCCACTGTCCTCCTGGGAAAATGAGAAGTGAAGCTCAGAGAGAAAAGCTGGCTGATACTAGGCCAGGACCGAGCCCCCAGCAGCCTGACCCAGAGCCTTCCCAGCTGACCATGGCTCTCTACTGCTAAGGAAATTTGCCTCCATCTCCACAGGAACCTCTATTACAGTGTGAAAGTACTTTCATTCACCCAGATAGAATTTTTCTTTTTCTTTGGAAATAATTTTAGGCTCCCAAGAACTTGCAAAAATAGTAGAGTTCCCATGTCTCTTTACCTAGTTCTCCCAGTGATAATATCTTATGTAACCACAGTACATTAAATAAAGTGTTAAATAATGACTTTCTACTTCTAAAGCGTCAGAGATAATTGACGCTCAACCTTATCTTTTAGCCTTGATGATTTGATTTCCCCCACTGAAGCTATCTATGAATGATGATAATAATTGATAGTCTAAAATCATATATTGACCTTTTACCATGGCCCAGGCATTACACCAAACACTTTACATACATGACTTAACTTCATTCTGTTACACTGACCATAATTGTCTGTGTAAAGAAAACTAAAAAATAGTAATAGTTATAATTGTTGAGTATTCACCATGTGCCAGGCACTGTTTTATATGCTTTATCTACTTTAATCTCTCCAGCAAACCTGTGAAGTAGATCCTGTTATTAGTCCTATTTTACAAATGAGAAAACTGACACACATAAAGGTAAAATTATTTACGCAAACTCACAGGTAAAATTAAAATTTGAACCCAGAAAGTATAATTCCTTAGCCCATAGAGCAAGCACTAGGCTGTATTACAGCCATAGCAGTATTACAACCACAGCCTGCTTCCTTTCCCTTCTTTGAGCACTGGAATGAGGCCCTGGAGAATAATCTGGTCAAGTCCTCCAAAACTAACCAAATCTGTCCTTCCCTGGCCATTGCTGTTTTTCACATCCGGGCAGCAGGAATGCCAGGTGCTGCCTGCAGAGCCCCACTGTGGCCTCCAGATGGCGCAGTCAAGCATCATTTATTTTTCAATTAATGTTCTGTCATTCATTAGAGTGAGGAAGAGGAGCATAGGCGCCGTGGATGGCCCTGCCAAGAGTCGAGACAGATGGGGTGAGGGGGAGCAACAAAGAACCAGGGTAGAAGCAAAAAATAAGAGGCCTGTGGGGTGATGCCTGTCCTCCAGCAACTCCTGTTGGAATGCAGGTAATAAAAACAGCTTCCTTTTCCTGGGGCCTTGCAATATGCTTGGCATTCTAAGCACTGTATACCCCTTAGCCCTCTTAAAAACCCTAGGAGGCAGGTGTTATTTTATGGTTACACAGACAAGGAATTAGAGGCTCAGGATGTGAACCAGTCAGCCAGAGGCAGAGCTTGGCCTTGAGCCTGGGACGGAATCCCAAGTTCCTGCTCCCATCCTCTGCTCTTCCTCCACCTAACAGCCTGGGGAGGGGGTGGGGGGATGGCGGGACCCCAGCACACACGCCTGACGACTGGCTTGAGCAGTTAGTTATCTTCACCTCCCTCCCTAGACGTTTAGGACCCCAAAGGCAGACTTGGCTTCAGGAGAACAGGAGACTTGCCCTTGCAGGACGGGAAGAAGATTCCTGCCTTGGCCCTCAAGGAGCTGACCGCGCTCTGTGACGACGTCCTGGGCTTGGACTGAAGAGGAGCAAGGTGGGAAAGTGGAAGGCAACGGGTCAGCAGCGGGCCGGCGGCTAAAGTACCGGCTTTCCCACCCAGGGAGCCGGTGAGGAATCCTTCAGCAAAACATGCTTAGCTGCTCTAGTTCTTTCTGTCATATATATTTTTCTGCATATAAAAACAATTCCTGCTCTTCATAGAGAAAAAGACAAAAAGGGAAAATACAACTCAGATACAAGCACTATTAACTTTTAGAGTATCATCTTCTCTGTGTATGTGTGTGTGTGTTTTCCTTTTTTCATAATATTATAGAATTATGGATATTTCTCATTGTATCATTCAGATGTTGCTACAATAATGTTACATAACAAGCAACCCCAAAACTCGTGACTTAAAATCACAATTATTTCCTGTTGCTCATGTGTTTGTGGGTGAGCTGGAAGTTAGTTGGCTGATCTAGGCTGCACTTGGATTAAGCTGTAGACGGGGTCTGGTTTGGCTTCACATGTCTCTCATCCTCCTGGGACCAGCAGGCCGCCTGAAGCCTGTCCTTACAGCAATGGCAGAAGCACAAGAAGGCAAACCCTACCACACAATGCGTTTTAAACCCCTGTATGTGTCATGGAGACTACTGCTGCATTGGGCAAAACTATCACCTGGCTGACTAGCCACGAGTGGGGAAGTAGTTTCTGCTTCTTTAGTGGGAAGAATTGCAAATTCACATGTCAAAGGGTGTGTGACATCCTACTCACAAGGAGGAGTAATGAACTTGAAACAATAGCATCACTTACCATAACTATTAAATATTCTTTGAAAACATGATTTTTCATCAGCACACGGTTTTCCTCCTTATGGATATATCCTAATTTATTTAACCATTTCCCTATTGGTGAACTTTATTATTTCCATGTTTTTCCTATTATGAAACACAATCACTATTGCTGCACACAGAACTCTGAATGCATCTTAGATTATTTTACAATATACTTAAAGTTCTTGGCTTGTATTAGCCTTAAATGGTATATGAGAGTGTTCATCTCACTGCATCACTGTCAGCTTTACACATTATGATTTTTTGTTTGTTTCTTTAAAGACGAGATAGTGGTGGATAAGAAAGGCCAAAGGGAGGGAGTTAGCTGAGAAAGTATAGGTAAGTGAAGGGAGGATGAGAGGAATTGCTGAGTAGATTTGGAAGGAGAAGTTTTCCCCAGAAGACTGTGAGGCAGGATGGATGAGAAAACCAGGCAAACGCATTTCTTAGGAACTCAGCCCATCCGTGCAGGTCTAGACCCTCTACCCCAGGCATTACGTATCATACGGCAGCAGCACATTTTCTCTCTAACACCTCTTTGTTCAGCTGAGATTTTTCTGCTCTGTGATGTATCCAACATTTTCATTATTGCTGAGGCTAAATGTTCTGCTCCAGAGATATGGAGAAGTTTGAGCTCACCCATTCTCCAGACAGCTCAGTCCTCACACACGAAAAGGATTCTGAGTCTAGTCATCCAGGAGATCTTGTGGGTTGGAGCCCAGTTATTCCAGGAAGTGAAACACCCCTTCTGCTCCTTTGACTTCCAGCCCCTTGATGCCCTGCTCGAAGCGGACTGCAAAGCCCTCCCCAGCACCCAGGTCCTGCTGGTACGTCAAGCTCTAAGTTGGCCCCAGCTTGGCTTATTTAGCTGTAAGAAGGCTGTCTCTGGCCACCACAATGGGAGATGTCTAGCCTGAGGGATGACAGTATGGACTTTGGAACCAGAAGACCTGGGTTCAAATTCTAAGCGATGCTTGCCAGCTGAGAGACTTGAGATGAATTTTTGAGCCTCAGTGAGTCCCCCTTTCAGTATGTGTGCAGTTAAAACAGTATCTTCCTTTTATGAATGATAAAGTGAGGAACACGCATGTGAAGCCCTCCCAGCAGGGGCTGGCTCCCGGGCATAGGCAGGAAAGCTGTTAATTCTTCCTTTTCGAGGCCCTTCAAGCATGCTGCTCTTCTGGTCTCTGGGGGAGACAGACGCACCTGTTTGATCCCCACTTTTCAATGCTTGCTGGTTTAAACATTGGCTTCTTTCTCTCATAGCTGCTGTCCTGTTGGAAAAGGGAGGGCTGGATATGGAAGGCATCCCAGGGGCTCTGGATCGCAGGTTCAGGTCAAGGTAACCATGTGGCTTCCCCCACTCCACGGAGGCTGCCTCCCCCAGCACCCTCCCATGTGCACTGAGCCAGGGGAGAATCAGTGCACAGCTTGTCATGTTCTGTCTTGGTCTCTGTTTGACAGGGTGGAGATGGTACAATATGGCTCAGGGGTTGTGGGTGTGGGTCCCGGGGTCAGACTGCCAACATTTATTGAGTGAAACCCTGTGCTAACACACATCAAGCCATTTGATCCTCATATCAACCTTATCGTACCAGAGTGGGTGCTATTATTGTCCCCACTTTGCAGATGAGGAAATTGAGTCCCAGAGACGGGGTATGTGGTAGATCCTTGGGCCAACTTCTCATTAGTGACTCTTTTTTCTTCAGGGGCTGGAACAAAAGCTGGAGAGAGATTTCCACACTGGCTTTTATAGCTGGGATGAGGTTTACCACAATGACACATCTGATCTGCTCAAAAGGTTCATCAGAGAGCTGCCAGCACCTCGGCTCACTGCTGAGTGCCTCCTCACCTTCGCTGTGGTGCCCAGTGAGTGTGCCCCAGCCCTTTATGTTTGCAGAGAAGAGCATTTGATGCCACTGGCCTTGATTGATTAGGGGACATGGTGGTGATTGCTGACCCGCTGCATTTCTGATCCTGGCTATAGCTCTCCAACTGCACATCTGGGTGCATGTATGTTTGCGTACATGTGTTACTTTTACTCACACAGTATAGAGAGTGAGCTCTGTGACCAGCACTGGCTGGGGTTCTGTCTGAACTGACACTAGCCCAGGAAACAGTTCCAGGCCTTAGGAAAAAGGGTTTTCTGGCTGTCCTGGATTTTCCAACCCTGGACTCTCCCCTTAAAAACAAGGGGCCTCCAGGCCAGGCGAGGGCAAGTCTCTGAGTCACCACAGACTGAGGTTCTCCCTCTTCCCTCAGACATCCTGGACCTGAAACAGCGCCTGCAGGCTCTTCACCCACTCATCCTGCTCCTCCCAGAACCCAACAGAAATGCCCTGAAGATAGAAGTTTCCAGAGCTGCCTCCCTCCATTCTATCACCTCAACCCAGAGCCACAATAACAGCTCCAAATGTGCTCATTCATTCATTCATTCATTCATTCAACAACTACCCCAGGGACTGTGTGTAGTCAGTGGAGACCAACAGTGGTGGCCACGCCTTTCCTGAGACTTTTTCATGGAGGAAGCAGAGAGTCCTGAGAGAAAGCAGAGAGTCCTGAGAGGAAGCAGCGCTTGCTGGAGTGGGCCCTGCCCAGCATCTCTTTTGTACGGTGCTAACAGGTCTTAAGGGGGAAATGGTTATGTGTCCAGATAAGACCGGGCAACACTGAGGTAATGAAACAAGGTTAAGGATCACTCTTTCCAACAAGACCTCTCAAAGCCTTTGAGATGCTGAGGCTTTATGAATCTCCAAGTGGGACTGGAGTATGTAGCATATTCCCAGCCTGGTTAGTCATGAACCCCTTTTGCTGTGGAAAGCATTGCATGGCACTGGTGTTCTGCGGGGCGCCAATTTGGGAAACACTCCCAGGGAACTCCCACTGTATGTCTGGCAGTGGGTGCTCAGAGCTGGGGGCTGGGGCTGGGACTCAGCGTCTGCTTGGCCCCCAGCACCCTCCTGGTTGTCCTTGGGTCGAGCCCAAGATGTACCTCTAGGATGAGGCAGTGAGGAGGCCCCAGGAGCACTGCAGTCCTTGTCTGACACGGACACAGGAGGCCGCAAACAAGTAACCAGCTAGAGCTGGGCTCGGGGAGCCTCGGCTCCTTGTGCCTCAGCTTTGGTTGAAGCGACAGCCTCTTTGAATTTCTGCTTCCTTTTCAGTGAACTGAAGATAATAGTAGAATCTTGTGTGAATCTAAAAAGCTAACACATGAGGAATCACAGAGTAGAAGGCATGGTACTTTGCAAATGCTCAGTATATACTCTTCCTTTCTTTCTTCCATCTTTCCATTCATCCACCCACCCATCTGTCCATCTATCAGTCTGTCTCCATCCATTCATCTTTCAACCTTCCAGTTCTGCCCCTTTCCCTTCATCCTACTGTCTATGTGGCCTTGGGCACATTCTCCAAGCCACAGTTTCCTTCTCTGTAAAATGGGTACATGTCATAGACTTTCATGAGGATTAAATGAGATGATAAATGCACATAAGGTGCTAAACAAGGGACCAGGAACACAAAAAATACTTAATAAATGGAAGCTATTAGCATCCTCTCCCATTCTTCCCATTGTCTCTGCTTCCCTATTTTTTCCTTTGCCTTCGAGGCAGATCTAGACCCCCCAAAAAGGTGCTGTCCTGGGCCTCTCCCAGAACTGTGGTTCGTTTCTGCCTGGAAGTTGAGGTCTGACCCAGATGTCTCATTAACCTCTGAGAGAGGACAGCAGGGAAGGGCATGGGCCACATTTTGCAGAACAGGAAACAGACACAGAGAGGTCATGGTGGGCTGATGGCAAGCTGGAATGAAACCCTTATTCCAGCCCCTGGACCTTTCCAAGTGCCCCCGAGTTGTGCAGTGTGGTGCTCTGGGAAAGGTGGGGAGCACCAGGCTGCGCCGAGATATGAGGGAGGTCCTGTCCTTTCCCCAGGCCCTCCTGGAATTCCTCACGACGGTGATGGCCCAGGAGCCAAGCAACAAGATGACACTGTGGAACGTTTCCCTGGTGATGGCCCCTAATCTCTTCCTGCACCCAGGGCAGTCCCCTAAACTCTCCAAGGGCAGGGAGAACAGCTGGCAGAGGGGCAGCCGAAGTGGTGCAAACGATGGTACACTGCCAGGACCTGCTCTGGACGGTGAGCGCTGTGGGCCACGAGGGGAGGGGCGGGGTGTCTGTCTGAGGAGCAGGACAGGACCCTGCCCTCCTTGGGTACGGCTGTGCTGATGCCCCTGCCATCCAGGACTGTGGGTCCTGTGCTCTCCAGTCCCTAGTTACATCTCTTCCGGGACTTGTGTCGGATGCCACGTGAAGGCCGGTGTCTTCCTCCTCTCCCGCCCTGGTGTAGACCAAGAAGAGTCTACACTGTCTCCACCTTCACACCTCCCAGTCCCCTGCCATCTGGTCTACCCAGATTATGGGTGTTCCCTGAGTTCCCACAAAGAATCCTTCACATGGAGGTTTTAGTGATACTGAAAAGCCCCACCCGTGAGGCCCAAGAGCACAGGGCCTGCCCAGGTGGAGCTGGAGCCAGGTGACCTAGACAGTTCCTGCCCCAGCGTGGGCCTTGCCCTGAGTAACAGTTAGATGCAAGGGTGAGGGGCCAGGGGAGGGTGACTCCTCTGAGGCATGGGCACACGGCCTGCTCAAAGCTGAGGGCAGGGCAGGCACACTGAGACCAGTGGCTCTCTGTGCCCCCAGCAGAAGGTCACACTGCCCACCACAGCTGCCAGGCTACTTCACTTAGACATGTGCAGCCTCTTCACCCATCTCTCTTTTCATCCGGCCACCCTTCAGTCCTGCATCATCCACCCATTCCCCTCTCCTCCCTCCTCCGCTTTTCCTTCTCTCCCGTTCTCTACCCTTCCTCCATCCATAAAATCATTAAGATAGTCTTTTTATTCCAGAAGCCAGCCAGTGAAGCCCTCTGACTCTTCCCAGTTTCTGCCACACCTTGGTGTTCTCAGCACACCAAATGCCAGCTGCTTCTCCAAACTCATCCTGTGCTTCACACTCCTGAGCGTTTGCTTATGCTGTTCACTGTGCCTGGAATTCCCGTCCGTTTTGATAAAGAGCAGGCGCCCGGTGCCCTCTGCTCATTCCTCAAGACCTAGTTGGAGCGTCAGCTGCTCCGCCGACAGCCCCTGCCCCTCCCACAAAAGGTACAGGTCCGCGCCCCGCCCCGTAGCTCCTCTCTCCTCTGTGTTCCTTCAGCTCTCTGAGGTAATGTGACTGTTAAAATACATTAGATTAGAATACTTTTTACCGCAGGGAGTTTTAAAACGTCAAGAAATGCGTAAATGTCTTGTAAAAGTTTCAGGCACAGATGCAGGTAAAGTACATGGAAGCGCCCCCACCCCTTCCCCCGCGTGTATCGTCTTGCTTAAGTGTCCCACAGCCGGAAGTCAGGAAGCCCAGAATGGTACCGGGTTGTCAGACCTCAGGCCACACGCTCGTTATTATCAGGGGCCGTGGAGTCCGGATTTTGTCTGCTGGGTTCTGATTGGATAGAGGGGCGGGGCTTGACCAGGGACCCTTTGGGAATTGGCCGCGCCCGGGTGGCTGGGGTTGTCAGAGCCTGAGCCCACTCCGGGGATGCCCCTGACTCAGTGAGCCAGTGTGCCGCTGGCCCAGGCTCAGGAGCAGGAGCAGGGCACTCCAGCCTCTGTCCGGGGGACGGCTGTCACTGAGCCCGAGGGTGGGCTCTGCTCCCACAGTCCCTACTCCATTCCCTCTTAGGGGCGAAATGCCTCCCCTCCTCCCACTGAACTAGTGCAGCAGCCCCAAGTTCAACAAGTTTGAACATGTCAAATTCAAGAGGTTCACGTCTTGCCAAGCCCTGCGTGGGTGCTGGGACAGGGAAGAGGTCAGTGACCCTGGCCGACTGCTCTCACCCCAGCAGCCCCATGCCCCTGTTAAGACAATTCTTTCTGACCAGGTCGCCTCTGTTGGTCGCGCAGGTGCAAAAACAATGAGAGCAATGGCCGTCGATCCCAGCTCTCCAACCGGAGCCTCAAGACCTGGCTATGAAGGATACACGCAGACAGGGCCAAAGCGGGGATTGGCCCCTAGGCGGTGAGTTCCGCCCGCCTAGGGGGCTGAAGGACGGACGGGTCGGGCGGCTGGAGGGCACCTGTAGCGGGGCGCAACGCAACAGCCAGGAATACACTCTACCGGCTTGTCCGGAACGGCGCTGCCGACGATCGCCACTAGGGGGCGCGCCAGCCCCACGCAGCGAGCGGGGAGGCAGAGTCAGAAAGGAGGGAGATGACGCCACTGGTCAATTCTGCTGTCTGCATGATACCTGTTTGTATAAACCTATATGCATACGTTTGTAGGTGCATTGTATGCACCTCTGTTGTGTGTACAAGTGTGAACACGTGCACACGTATATTTCTATGCCCGTGTTTGTGCACGCACACTTCAGAGGATATTACGTATGTGGACACATGATCTGTGCACAAGTACCTGTTGTGGTGTGTGTGTGTGTGTGTGCTTCTTGTGTATTTAGCGTGGGTATTTGTGTAAGTGCACGTGTACGTGCGTGTGCTTATGCACACACATTTGAATTCTAGGCATCTTTCTCTGCAGATTCCCAAAGTGGCAAAGATCCAGGCAGCCTGGTCTACCAAAGATCCCCTGGAGGTGCCCCTGATCCCCAACACCAAAGTGGCCCATGTTCTCAGGCAGTTCATAGGGCACCTCTGCCCTGGTTCACAGGGTCAGGAAAGCAGTGAGGACAAAGACAGCCTCTTTCAACTGTAAGGGACACCTCCCTGAAATAGGAGCCTCTCCCTTGCAGGGAGCAGGAGTGGGTGCAAGGTGAAGTCAGCTGTTGAGGGCAGCTGTACATGCCACTAGGCTTTCTCTCTCTGGGATAGTCAGAACAGGGTTCTTTAGCCTTCTTAGAGCGCTTCTTGGCTCCAAATAATAATGATAATAGCTACCATTCATTCATTCATTCATTCATTTATTCATTTAATGGGTATTTAATGAATGTCCACTACAGACCAGGTACCAATTAGTGCTAGAATCACAATGAAAAGAACAGACAGAGGCCCTGGTCTTACAAGCTCACAGCCCTGAGGAAGAGAGGAACATGAATCGAATTAGCCACCAAGGAAATGTTCAAGTTACAAATTATATTAGATTTTATAAGAAATACAGGGAACAATGTAAATGTAAAATAAGCCACCTGGTATAGTCTGGTGAGTGAGGTAGAGCTACCAGGAACAGAAAACTGCATGTGCAAAGGTCCTAAGGAAGCATGGTCAAGGGGCTGAGAGAGATCAGTGAGACTGATATGCAAGTGTCATTCCAGGATGCAAGAAACAGCTTGAGCTCCGTGATGTAGTTGGCACAAAGGACTCTTGGACTTAGCAGGTGTCTAGTCTAGCTCCTCCTTGAACAGACAGGAAAACTAAGGTCCAGAGAGGGGAAGGGGCTTGACCAGGGCCACACAACAGATCGGGGCAATTCTAATATTGAACTCAGGGTATCACATATCAATTATATGATACCTATGTGATAATTTTAGCTACCATACATAATCATACAATATCCATAAGACATCCTGACTCAGAATTTGCCCCTCACAGCAGGCTCCTGTCCCCATCTGTTACCCCTCACCCTATCACCCTCACAGCCTGCATTCTGATGCTCAACAGATCAGGGCCTTTTTGGGGGGGGATCCATGGCTGACCCTCCCCAAATGCCACACAACTGCCTCTTCCCTGCCTCTGGGCTCTTTCCTGGGCTCCAGCTCTCTCAGGAGAGTCTTATGTCTCATCTCTCACCTGGGACCAGAAATCAGAGGATCTCCCCTCCCAGGCCTGGAGCCATAAACAGGTGTGGTCACACTGCCTCTGGCACAAGGGGTGAGCTGTTCTCTCTGCCGTGCAGCAGATTCCCAAAGTCAGCCAGCATCTTCCTCTGCGAAGTTGAAGGGAGTATCAGGAAGTTTCTGGTGGGGAACGGGTCCGAGCCAGGTCCCCGGGAAGTCTGTGGCCTGTACTGCTCACCGGATCCTTCTGGGGGGGCCACCCCAGGAAGAGCCTTCCCCTCAGGCCTCTGTCTCCCATGAAACCAGGTGGAACCCTGCTGTGAGGTCAAGGTCAGCCTGGGCCACATCCTGGAGTGTGGGGTTGGCCTGGAGCTGCCCTTAGGCATAAAGAGGGCAGCCTTTTTTGTTCAGTGTGACAGGTTTCAGTACCACCAGTGAAACTGATGCCTCTGGGCCACCCTAGATGAAGCAGGCCCCCTCCTGGGCCAATGACCATGGACTCCTTAGGGAATTCTGCAAACGCATGCCCAGCTCCGAGTGCCCCAGCTTTAGTGGGAACCCAGGATGGGCAGCCATCCTCAGCTGCAGTCTCTACAGCAATGATTCTCAGTCTTCAGCAGTGTCTCAGAGTCACCTGGAGGGCTATTCAGACACAGGTGGCTAGGCCCCGAGAATCTGCATTTCTCACAAGTTCCCAGGCGATGCCATGTTGCTGGTCCAGGAGCCACACTTTGAGGCACTGGCCAAGTTGCAGAGGCTAAAACAAGGCTTCAGCAGCAGTGAAGGAGGGAGTGAGTAGGGGTGAAGTCTGGCCTTGGCCACACTGTGGCTCTGGAGGCAAGTTGCAGCCCAGTGGTTCCCTTTAGAGGGAGGCTGGTCTTTCTACTTCTATATCAGTCAGTCACTGGCTGTGGACTGCGCGGAGGGGCTGGGCATACCTACGCAAGCAAAGCATCTGGCGTCTGGGGAGGTCCGTTTTCCAGAGAAAATGGTAGCTGTGGGCCATAGCAGCCAAGACTCAAACAGCTTGGGGGCAGCGCAATGCCAGCAGCATTTCCTCAGCCCCACCCCCACGCCTGCTTCCCACAGGTGAGTGTCGCCTGGACCCATTTGCTGGCCTCTTAGATCTGTCCTGCGCTAATCCCCCACAGTGAATGGGTCATTAAACAGAGCCCCACCTAAGGCCCGGGACTCTAGGGAGCAGCCCTGATGTCACATCCCTGGCCCCGAGGGCTCTGGGTACCCAGCATAGGAACACAGCTGCTTGAGGGGAAGGTCTGGACATTCCTCTGAGGCATCCTTCTCTGAAATGCCTCTCAGATCCCACAGAGGACTCGGGTCTGGGGCTCTCTCCTCCCCGCAGAACCACACATAGAGCCCTCTGTAGGCTAGCTGGCTCCGACGCCACACCTAGTGCATGACCACACCCCCTGGGGGACCTGGATCCCCATGGATTTTAGTCTGGGATTCCCAGCCCTGGAGAAAATAAAACATGCAGCACGTTTATCAAGAAGCAGTTGCTTTATCCAGGAAAAACTTTGAAAGTGTCCCTACTATATATAGTGTGGCAGTGCTGGGGAGAAGCTAGAAGAGCTCTGTGGCCTTGGGCAGGCATCTTGCCCTCTCTGAGCTGCTTTGAAAGATGAGGGGGTCAGGCCTCAGGGATGGGGAGCAAACGCTGTGGCCAGGAACAGACCTGGGAGAATTAGAAAGAAGAAAACCCTCCCTTTACAGTTCTTGTGTTTTAAATACTGCTTTGTACAATCTTGTCATTTTCCAATATGATATTTAAATTCTATTTGAACATTAAAGGCACAAGTTAAATGTCACTTTTACTTCATTCAAGGTCTTTTTCTCCCCAGTCTAGCTCCTAGTGGGTGATGTTCTCCCAGCAAGTAAGCATGGGAGCTTGGTGATGAGAACGTCTTACCGTGTTTCTCAGGGGGCTCCGGCCTCAGCATGAACCTGTAGCCAAGATGAGAACTCAGAAAGGGAGGGGTGGAGTCGTGATAACAGTTGCAGAAAGGGGTGGTCCTGCAAGGACAGCTTCTCTGGGGTCCTTTCCCTACCCCTCTCTCTCCAACACTCCCAGGTCTCTCCCCTCCCCCTTTACCCTTTCCAGAGTCTGTCTGGCTTCAGGTGAAGCCTCCACCCATTAACTCAACAATGAATTGATTAAGCACAAGAGCTTTATAAGCTTAATCTTCACAATAGTCCAGTGTCTCAGTTTGGGATCCCTGAGAAGTCCCTGAGACCATGATTCCAGTGCAAACAGTAACCCCAAGAAAAGAGGGAAGGGGAAGGTGGAAAGGGGAGGCAGCCCATAAGAGGATGCGTCATCAAGCAAGTTACCCTTGCGGGCAACCAGAGCTTAATTCTGGGGAACTCTGAGAAACAATGGAGGAGATACTCATCAGCATTACACCCACCCAAAGGGCACGGGAACTGGGCATTTATTCACCAACTCCTGTGAGTCATTGGTTGAGGGCTGCTCCGGAGGATGGTGGGCGTTTTTCCCCTGGCGCATCTTGCCTGCATGAGCGCAGGTGAGGTGGGCTCCAGGAACCAGAGAAAGCACTCACGTGAAGACATACAGATGCTGGCAGTTAGAAGCCGGCCTCCGTGCCCTGAAATGATGAGTGCAGAAGGGACACTGGTGGTGCACTGACAGCGCCTGCTGCACCTTGTCAGGTGGTGGTGGTGGTGCTGATGGGGGTGATGGTACAGATGGTGATGATGATGAAGGTAATGATGGTGCACATGGTGGTGATGACGGTGGTGGTGCAAAGTCTCAATGCTTCAATGCCTTTTAACTGCACTCACTTCTTCCCTCCTGTCTATCCTCTGTACATAGTGGTCCTTGTGAAACAAAATTTCAATTCTAATGAAAGGCATCTTCTGAAAACCTTCCGGAGGGGTCCTATACTACTTAGAATAGTGTCCCAACTCCTTATCCTGGCCTGTGAGATCCATCTAATGTTTCTGATGCCTCTTCACTCATATTCCCCCTCACAGCAAAGCCAGCCACATGAGCCTCCTGTCAATTTCTCGGACATACCAAGTTCCTTCCTGCTGTTGGGCTTCTAAACTGACTGTTCTCTCTGCCTAAACACTCTTGACCCAGTTATTCCAGGGACAGCTCTGTTCATGTCTGAGTCTCAGCTCAGATGCCCCTTCTTTACAGAGGCCTGCGCCACCCATCCCCCGATGTTGCTCCCTCTCCTACTCTCTCACCACCTTAACTTTCTTCCTGGTACTTATCATACCTGAACTTATCTTAGTATTTTAATCATCTGTCTGCCCAACTAGGAGGTAGCCCCATGAAACAGAGGCCATGTGTGTTTTTGTTCACCTTTGTGGATATAATGGTACACAGTAGGTGCTCAACAAAAATCTGTTGGACGAATGAATGAATAAATGCATCCCTCTTTTCCCCTCTATCTGTTTCTTCTAGAAACTGTTGCCCTCACCGCCTGATTAAATTCTGACCTCCCTGTTTCGATATGTAAAGATGAGAAAATGTACCTGGAATACCTCTACAGAGTGCTCATTATTATTATTATTAATTATTAACAAGAGCCAGGCAGTCTGAATGGTGACCAATGATATTATCTCCCCATGGTTCCCAGCACCCGCACAGGTCCCACCGCATCCTCACTCCTTCATTAACAGGGCTAGCATGACTGGAAGCTCTGTGTTTGGAGGGACAATCCTTTGACCTTGGCAGGAGGATGGGTGGGTGCCTCAGTGGGTGCCAGGAGCCCAGGCCTGGCTGTGCTAACTTTTGCACTCAGAGGGCCGCCAGCCATCAGCAGTGGATCCCTGTTTAATCACATGTCAGTTTCCCCATTCATCTTCAGCGCTATCTGAGGGCTCATCGTTTTCCACCCTGTGGCACCACGGTGATTGATGATCCTGCGCCAGCCCCTCTGCTGGGTTAGCACAGCTCACAGTGGGTGCCCAGCTTCTCCAGGCTCTTTGCAGTCTGGGGCTGATTTTGGCTGGGATCATATTCAGGAAGCCCTGTTACAGACTGCACTGTGTCCCCGCCTCCGAATTTGTATATTGAAGCCCTAGCCCCCAAGGTGACTGTATTTGGAGGTAGGGCTTTTAAGGAGGTGATCAATGTTAACCAAGGTCAAAAGGGTGGGGCCCTAATCCCCTCGACATCCCCTTTGGTCCCAACATTTTCTGAACTTACTCTGTCCTCCCTGCCTCAGTCTTTGCTGATGCTGTTCCCTCTTCTGAGAATGCTCTCCCACCTGGTTTCTGTCTGCTGAAAATTTTCAACGTGCAATCAACAAAAATTCCTGTTGAGAGCCAGGTACTGAGGATGGTGCACTGAATCAACACAGACTTTCCTTTAGGGGTTTACAGCCTAGAGAAGGAAGAAAGACATTAACTCACCACACAAAATGCTGTATAATTAGCCTCCCAGGAGGCTTCTGCAGGGAGTGATTTCTAAGCTGAACTTGAATAATGAACAGGTAAGACGTGGAAGGGCATTCCAGGCAGAAGGAACAGTATGTGTTAGGCCCAGAGCAAAGAAGGAACTGGTGTGGAGGAGACAGGGAAAGGTTGGTGTGGCTGAAGTTGAGAGAGGACACATGGGCAGTGGCCAGACTGGGCAGGGACTGAAAATGGATCCTAAGAGGTTTGGGAGAGCTAGAAGGATTTAAATCTACCAAACCACCCGGCCTGAGAATTCTTAGACCGCCCCCAGGTTTGCCCTTAGCAACCCTAAATATGACCCCCACAAGCCCCTGTATGAGACTGTCCTACTGTCTGCTCTGGGGTCCTCACTGCCCCGGGCCCTTCAAAGGGGTCTCAGACAGTGAAGTCCCTCCTCTGAGAAGCCTTCTAAGGAACCCGGAACTGCTGCACTCCCTCAGTCTCAGCATTTCTGTCTTGGGAATCTGAGGGGCACTGGGATGGAGGTGAACATTCCTCAGGCTGCCTCTGCAGGCAGGGCAGCCCAGGCTCTGGCCGGGGGTGAGATGGCAGGGTGCTGCCTGGTACCTGGCTATGGGCAGGGGGCTCCCCCACCATGTCAAAGGATCCACTCACATCTGCAGGCCACAGGATATGTGCAATTGGAGCTCTAACGTGCAATTAAGGGACCTCTAAGGGACTTCATCCACAGACTTTGGGGAGTCCCCTGTCTTAGTTTTTAGGCCTGGATGGGGAACAGGTAAATGTCACCTGTGTGCTTTGCAAGTCCAAGAAGCAAGACTGGGGTGGTATAAAGGGAACCGATGCCTGGCACACCCATCATGCTGTCCCCTGCCCCTCTGGGAGTGATGTGGGGGGAGAGGCCTTCTACTGAGAGCCCCTCGCCCCACCCCAGCCACTTTGCCTTCCGTGGGAGGGAAATGGGAGCCCCTTGTCATTGTCCCTGAATACCCGCTGGCAGGAGGCCCAGGGAGGGGGCTTCCCAATAGGGAATCTGCAGCTGCCTGTCTTTAAGGTAAAATTACCGTAATTACCCCAATTACCAAATCCATCAAGAGCTTTGGACTGAGGAGGCTGGAAAACAATTGGATCTGAGGAGTGCATCATGGGGTGGAGGCGCAAAGCGTAGGGGGAGGGGGCAGCAGTTGGTGTTGGACCAGGCTCATAATTGGGGTTGGGGTGGGAAGTGCAGAGAACTCATCATTAGCCAAGACCCCCTCTGCCCCCTCAGTGAGTCTTCTCTCCTATACTGGAAAGAAATTTTTTAAAAAGAAAAAAACCTCTCCCTGGCTTCATCTCCTTTCATGGAATCCCACACCCTAGGCCAGCTGACTTGGACCCTCTGTAGCTCCTATGAGAGTTAAAGGTGGAAACACCAAGAACACAGGCTGGCATCTCCCTGGCTCTTGCTCTGTGCAAGGCCCTGTGCACACAGCTTCTCAAGCTTCGTCCCCTCCAACCCTGCGGAGCAGGCTTGGTCCCGTTTTATAGATGGGGCATTGCGCCTTCCTCTGGGCCTGCATGCTCAGGAGACCAGCCCCTGGCCCTGGCTTGCCTCTGTGCCCCTCGCCCCTGCCCCACTCGCTAACCTGCACTGTGCACAGTCACAAGGTATTTGGTGAAGGAGATGAAGTGCTGGGTGTATCACAGCTGAAGGCTGGGTTCTGACCTCCAGGAGCTCACAGCCCGGAAGGGAGGCCGGCATCCCTCCCAGGTCCTCCGTCATGAGGGGCTGAAGGCCAGAAGCTCTCCAAGCCCAGACCTGGAGGCAGCGTCTCACCCTCAGCAAGAATGCTTCTTGGTGAGCTGGCCCAGGCCCCTCATCCCTTCTCTTCCCCTGGGCCTCAGGTTCTCATCTGTGACATGGGGGCGATCCCTCTCCTTTCCCAGACTCACTGGTGTGGCAAAACGGGGTTCTTTTTGACTCTCTCCCTCTTTTTCCTCTCTGCTCAGTGACATCAGCAAAGCAGGATTATCAAGCCCATTTTGCTGATAAGCAGACCAAGGCTTGGCCAGTCTGGCATCTGCTCTGCTGCGTCTTCTTCACCAGGGCCTTTAAATGGATGTGCTCTCCTGCCCCCAGCCCTCTTCAGCCTGCCAGGCACTGACCACTCCTCCTCCTAGGCTCCTGCAGAAGGTTGGTGCATTGCGCTGCGTGAGGGCAAAGGCCAAAGGCCTCTCCTCCCAGTTACTTGCTTACTCCTACCTTGCCCGTCTCCCCCCCCCCCAACGCACCCGGCTTCCAGCGATGCAGGCAGATTCCAGCTCTGCCTCTGCTCCCTTTTACGCAAAACAACCATTTGGTGCTACTTTCCCACCCACCCAGCTGGAGCACAGACTCCACAA